CCCCCCCCCCCCCCCGGGTCAGGAGGCAGATCAATGCTGCCGTGTAACTAACCGTGCTCCTCTCTTCGCTGCCCACAGTCTTTCTCACCAACTCCAGCGGGAGCAATGACCAGGATCACGGGACAGTGCCCAGCTCCAACACCCTGCTGATCGCCGGCTCGGCTGGGGGGGTCGCTTTCCTGCTGCTCCTGCTGTCTGGGGTCACTGTGGGGGTGCTGTGCTACCGGCGGCGACGTTCCAAGCTGGCCGAGGGTCACCGGCCGGCCCTCCACCTCAGCACCCTGACCAGCCCCAAACGGGGCACGGTGGGTAATAACAACAGGTCCGGCTCCGAGCCCAGTGACATCATCATCCCCCTCAGGACTTCCGACAGCACCTTCTGCCCCCATTACGAGAAGGTGAGCGGTGACTATGGGCATCCTGTCTACATTGTGCAGGAGATGCCACCTCAGAGCCCCGCCAACATTTACTACAAGGTGTGAGGTTCTGGGGTCGGGGGTGGGGTTGGGGGGGGCGGCAGGGGGCAGGGAGGGGATGGGAGGGGAGGGGAAGGGGTGCGGCAGGGGCTGACGGATCATTCAGAGCGGCGGTCTCCTTCCGGAGCTTCCCGAGCAGGAAGGAGGGCCGTGAGAAGGCCCACCCCCCGGGCCCGGGACTGAGCGGCTGATTTGGCCTTCCTGCAGGGATGGGGGCTGATGGGACGCTCCTCAGAACTTTCTGGAATCTGCCCCTCCCCTCTCGTGGGAAGGGTGTTGGGGACGGCCAGGGGGGAGCAATAAGGACCAAGGGTGAGGAACCAACAACGTCTTTAAGAACCTGATTTCGTCGGAGACACGCAAGTGGATGAGGGACCGAAGACCCCTCTGAAGGATCCCGGCAAAGGAGACGACCCCCCCCACTCGGCCCCAGAACCCCGAGGGGGTGGGGGATAAACTCAGAACTCAATGCAAAACCCTCCCAGCTCTGAGGAGGCAGAGTGAGGTGGGATTTGGGGGTGTTAAATGTCCCTTTTTTGTTTCAAGGGGTAAACGTGAGATCAGGAACAAGGATGTTCTCCACCCAACGTGACCCCCCAAGACCATCAGGAATAGGGACAGGATGAGGCCGTTCATTTCCTCTAGCCCTCTCTCCTGGTCAATGGGATCATGGCTGATTTCTCACGTCCACTTCCCTGCCCCCACCCAGGGGTTTGGGGCCTATCTGAACGTTGAGGTGGAGCCTGATATGGGTCAGACGCGCCAAGGGAGTTGGTCCCTAAAGCCCCGTTGCTGTACCACCCCCAACCACCCCTGCCCACGTATCACACCGTGAGTCGGGAGGCCAAGCCAGAACAGGCAGACTGTGTGATTCCTGTGCATGTGGGATCGGAGGGGTAATAGATGGCCTAAACAACTTGAGGAATGAGCAGATTCGCCTCCTTCTCTGCCCCCACCCAGAGAGGGGGATCAGATCCAAGGGCGTCTGAGACACCATTCCCCCCACCACACCCCCAGACTGAGTGAATCAGAGCATCCCTACAGTGTGGAAGCAGGCCATTCAGCCCATCAAGTTCAAATGACACACTGACCTACTCCCCCTGCCCTATCCCTGCACCTCCCACAGCCAACCCACTCTAACCTGCACATCCCTGGGCACTATGGGACAATTTAGCACGGCCAACCCACCCTAACCCGCACATCCCTGGGCACTATGGGACAATTTAGCACGGCCAACCCACCCTAACCTGCACATCCCTGGGCACTATGGGACAATTTAGCACGGCCAATCCACCCTAACCTGCACATCCCTGGGCACTATGGGACAACTTAGCACGGCCAACCCACCCTAATCCACACATCTTTGGACTGTGGGAGGAAACCGGAGCACCCGGAGGAAACCCACACAGACACGGGGAGAATGTGCAAACTCCACACAGACAGTCGCCCGAGGATGGGATCAAACCTGGATCCCTGGCGCTGTGAGGCAGCAGTGCTAACCACTGAGCCACCATGCAGCTCCAAAGTGAATTTGCCCCTGCGGAGAGTGACTGCGCTCCGAGTGTGTTTGCCTGCCTCCCACCCTGACATCTCCCCCACCAATGCCCGCCGATCCCCAGGGACCGTCCCATCACCTCATTTTCGGAATCAGGAGTGGGACACACTCATTGGCGGACTGTGATTCAAGATGGCGGCTCATCACTTCCTTCTCGGGACGGCG